TTAAAATTAATATTATTAAATAAAAAAATAACAATTATTATTTTTATTTAAAAATTAATAAAATTTATATTTTTAAATTAAAAATATAAAATTGACATTTTTATTCACTTTTATCCAAGTTGCCCTTTGAGAGCATCAGGCCCCAGAACGCCACAAAAGTGGGTGAACAAGAGTTGTCACGATAGGAAAGAGAAATGACTATAAGCAACCAGTGATTCTCTCTTCTTAAACAACCAATCTCCTCCACACCCTTTTTTTTTTTTTTTTTGTCTTTTTTTTGAGCAAGTTACATTAGAGGATGGGAGAATTCGAACCCAGACAAAGGATCAAGGGTTGCATTTCAATGTGACTTAAAACCGTTGGGACACGAGGCCCAAGTGCATATCCTCCTCACTTAATCAGCATTTGATAGATTATCCAACCCCGAGCAGATTCTAGGTCCTAAGGATAGAGGCTAGCCGGTTCCCCTTTTGGAGGTTCAGTGCTAGGGGTTGAGTTCAAGTTGTAGTTGCGTTCCATGCATAGGATGTGATAGATTACAGGTTCGATACATTTCCAGTGTAGTACATTCCAGTAGAGTCTTTCCACTAGATAAAGGACAAGGTTCCAGTGGAGGCAATCTAGGCTCCCAACTATATGGATTTTCCTTAGTTGCTCTTGAACCAGCTCTAAAGTTAGCTCCTGACGGGAGGCTATGAAATAATTGAAAGCAGATGCTGAATTAGAGACAGTAGATCCAGCATCTCTTTCACATGAAAGAAAGGAAGCAGAGAATGAAGAGAGGATGTGACTAAACTCCTAATCCGGGAAAGACCATACCAACTAACTTTTACTGATGTGGTTCCTAATAACAAAATTGGATCTACGCAGTAGTATATATGAAGCAATTCGGCTCACAGACGCTTTTCCAAGAGGACCACATGCTTAAGAAGATGATTGGTTTTCCTGCATAACAAGGATAAACAAGTATTAGAATCCCGGAGGAAACATAATTGTATGAATCCATGATCAGCCACCCCACGCAGAGGTAAAATTTAAGCTTTGAACTTCTTTTTGAAGATTATTATATATGGATAGGAATTGAAACCCAAGAGATAGCAGGAATTTAGAGGGGAGAAAAATACTTCATCGAATCTAGTCACAAATGACACAACACCAGTGATTTCATCAAGGATGCCGCCATAAGATGTGTCTTCAACTCGAGGAGACAGAGCAATGGAATGGGGTGTCTGTCCGACTTCATTCTTTGCTAGTTGTTGTGCCAATGCTGCTGTCTTTTGAGCAGTCACTAGAGGTGTCAAACAATCCTTTTGTGCCGGCAATTATAACATCTCCAGGAGCAACAGGAACTGTAAAGACCTAAAATGGACAGCAGCTACTCAGCTTTGTTAAACGTTTGCATAATCATTTACAATCATTATGCAATCAAATATTCCAAATTCATGAATCTACAGCATGACCCTTTTCTAGAAGAAAAACATAAGACGCACCATCTTTCAAACCAGAGCTAGGTAAACACCCAACACCCAAATACCTACAATCCTCCAGCAGAAGGGATTGAAAGATGGTGCGTCCATCTCGAACCACCTAAACCCACCATCTACCACGTTGATTGCACGCAGACCCTGCTGTCGATCACAAACAATTCATATGCTTTATTCACAAGTAATATCAACTAGTTACTATTTCAACCAGCAACTGCCAAAGGAAAAGGGTTATGAAGTCAACAGTGAGAAAACTATGAGCACATGAATTTTGATCCCTCCTTCATTTCAAGTCTCAAAACAACAAGTGGTAAAACATAAACAGTTTATGTTTCTTTAAAAAATCATTTTCCCATCTTCAGGGTCTATCTTGGACACATCTTATGGTTACTGCTCCCTGCTTCCTAAAAAAGACTTTATGGGATAAAAGAATTCGGCTGCAGCCGTTCAGTCACCAACTCACCACATACTACATTCAAATAACTAATTGTAGCCAAAAAGATATGCTGCTTTTATGACCAATCATGAGCACACAGAACAGACCCAAATAAAAAGTTAAGCCATAAACCTCCAAGAAAAATAAACTGCTTACCTGGTCAGTAAGTGCTACGATACATACTGTTGATACTTGATAAACCTCCTGCTTTTGTGTTAGAGTGAGCTTTCTCCAGGACCCTTAATGGGTCAATTGAACCTTTAGGTTCATCCCGAATTGCAATTGCTGAATTTGACATGAGTTCCCAGGAATACCACCACGAAACATCTGGACCTTTCCAATCCCCATAACCATCTGCCACACCTATTGCTTGTTCATCTGCACAAATAAAGTGCGCATCTTCCTTTCTCACATACCTTTCAAATTCCTTTGGATTTGGATGGGGCAGACAGCATAATCCTGAAAGCAGCTTTAGAGCTTTGCCAGCAGAACGTTCCCTGTGGTCAGTGGCAAAGTTATAAATATCAACTCGGACTAAACAATAAATACAAATCCCCAACCTTTTATTATTGTTACTTTTTATAGGTTTAAACCTTTTTTTTTTTTTTGGCCTCCATTGGTCTTTTATCCCTCTTCTCTTAGGAACTAGATTTTGGAGTCCCATATATATTTTTTAAGAATAAACTAAACTAATGCCACGATAACATATGATTCTTTTTTTCTTTTTTTTTTTCCCCCAGACTGAAGAGGGACAGTGTGGGGGCGTGGTTATGCCGGCGCAAATTTTTAAATATTAGCATCTTTTAAATCACTAACTTTATCTGCCTTCACGTAAGAAATGATTAATAATTATAAATTAAATTCATTAACATTAAGTGAAAAAAATATAATTTTAAAATATATAAATATTAAAATACCATTACAAAATTATCGAGGAAAATATTTTCAGAATGCATACCAACCGCGCAATGAGGGCGGTGGGGAAATTTTTTTATATCTAATTATCGAAAGATGGAAGGAGACAAAAATAGAGGAACAAAAAATATATTTTTTAAATCCAGTAGAAATAAATAATAATAATAATAATTTTTTAAAAATTTGATAAACAAACCCTAATTTTGTAAAAAAAAATTATTAGTTAAAATTTTAAATTATATTATTTTAATAAGTTTTTTATTAAAAATATTAAAATAATTTTTTAAAAAGAAAAATTAATATAATAAATTAATAAAATAATATAATTTTAAACTATTTAATCTCTTGGTTTTTTAAAAATGCAGGTGAAAAAGCAAAATTAATATAATAAGTTAATAAAATAATATAATTTTAAACTATTTAATCTCTTGGTTTTTTAAAAATGCAGGTGACAAACACTAATTTTATAAATAAATAAAGGTTTA